ACAAAAAGCTTCTATTTCATGGAACAGTTTGCTGTGTGGAGTACACAATTCTGACATTATTAAACTAAGCAGTCTCATGGGCGCTTGGGCACCCTGAAACGTTGTCTCTCATGGTGCTGATCGCGTTAGGGAGGTCACAAGCGCAGAGACCTCTCAAATAATCAATAATCAATAGACATGTCGTGGTCAGCTTAGCGAAAATTGTATCTAATGCCCAAGCTCCGTGTCAGTTACGCACGAACCAAATAAACGCATTCCACGTCATATGTCTGTTTCCTCTATATCGTTAAGGCAGCTTAGTCAATATCGGGAGTCATTCCACACTAGAAGATTTTGTCATAGTGATTGCTGAGGATAAATCAAGACTTATTCGTGTAGCAATATGCTACAGCTTCACTGTATATTTAATTCAGAGACTAAGATGCACTTTAAAGGGTGGCAAATCTGGAAGAAGTTCACATTCTTCGCTTTCATCGGTCTCAGCTTTTGTTATTCCAAATCCATCGATTAATTTCTGGTTCGCCACTTTCTTCATCGCATAAGTTGGTATTCCGGTTTCCTCACAATTTTTAATCGCCTAAAAAGAAAATCAACGATTTTTTTGGATAATGAAAAAACACTTTTATCGGCAATAAGCAATAGAATCATCAGAGAAGTTAAACGCACGCGTTTTGCATAGTTCTGGAACATTTCTTCTTGTTCTTCAACGCTTTGCAAATACTTGGTATCTTCCAAACGAGCCTTTAGTTTCTCCTCTTCGTGTCGCTTCTAAACAATAAAGAATATATTAACACCTCCACGTGGTGCACCCCGGGCAACGTATACTCACGATAGACTTACCTCCAGGTGGTGCACCCTGGACAACGTATACTCAAACGGCACCTCCACGTGGTGCACCCTGGGCAACGTATGCTCACTTCAAACTACTAAATCTATTAACTGGCAGTTGACTTCTGACTTCAAACTATGCAAAATTACATTTACCGACAGTTGACTTCTGACTTCAAACTGCCACTTTATTATTCGGCAGTTGACTTCTGACTTCAAACTACCAAAAGTCTATTAACTGGCAGTTGACTTCTCACTTCAAACTGCCATCACCCAACTTCAAACTGCCCACGTGGTGCACCCTGGGCAACGTATACTCATACGGCAAACAAACTGGTGCACCCTGGGCAACGTATACACGGCAAAAGAGTCCGTGGTGCACCCTGGGCAACGTACACTCACACCTTACCTCCACGTGGTGCACCCTGGGCAACGTATTCTCATTCGGCTACCTCCACGTGGTGCACCCTGGGCAATGTATACTCATACACCTCCACGTGGTGCACCCTGGGCAACGTATACTCACGATAGACTTACCTCCAGGTGGTGCACCCTGGACAACGTATACTCAAACGGCACCTCCACGTGGTGCACCCTGGGCAACGTATGCTCACTTCAAACTACTAAATCTATTAACTGGCAGTTGACTTCTGACTTCAAACTATGCAAAATTACATTTACCGACAGTTGACTTCTGACTTCAAACTGCCACTTTATTATTCGGCAGTTGACTTCTGACTTCAAACTACCAAAAGTCTATTAACTGGCAGTTGACCTCTGACTTCAAACTTCCATAACCCCACTCTATGTCATATTCGACCACTTTCACAGTACTTATCTAGCCTTTTCTCTGTCTTTGTGTCTGTCTGTCTCTCTGTTACATCTGTGAATCGCTCTTCTTTCCCACTGTTGAATTTTTCTCACTTTAATGTTCCTCCCTTCTGTGAAGCCTGAAGTCAACTAAAGGGCTAATGATAACTATCAAAACGCCTGCCATTTGAAATAAATAAATATTAACACAAAAGTCTGAATAATTACAATTTCCTGCTTATAGATCTCCACAAGCTCTTGGCACTTCTGTCGATTCTGAGCTTTGCGTTCCTCATCCTCACAGCGGTGTTTTTCGTCCAACGCTTTACGTCTCTCTAGGTCCTCTTTTGCCTCCTCTGCTTGGCGCACTCTAAGTTCCTCATTTTCCTTTAGAGTCTTTTGTCGATGAGCTTCAATTTCTTTGAGAGTATCTTCTTTCTTTCTGGCTTCATCTTCAACACGCTTGTTCCACTTGGCATTGTCCGATTCCATGGCGGCTTTTAGAGAAGCCTCACGGAACGCATTTTCCTTTTGGATTTTATCAGAAATAAAGTCGACCATTTTCTCCCGAACGGCGTCTCGTGCTCTTGGTTAAAAAAGGAGTCGGTTATTACTAAAATTAAGAGTATCACAATCCCCTCATAATCCATATTTCAATTTCTTAAGTTGAGATAAACAAGTTCTAAAACCACGATTGATCAGAAAATAGCAAACTATTAATTAAAAATGAGCGATTTAGCTAGAATTATTGAAGATGTTCTACGCAAGGAAGTTAAAGAGTGTGGAATGGAAAGAACTCACGCTTTAGCGGCTGCTTCCTTCTCGAGAGACATTATACCTATTTTGCGCTTTGCTGCCACAAAAAGCAGCTCCCTCTCATCTTCTTTCTAAAAAAACAATTAATTCTATTTTTTTAAAATACATTTATAGGTGCTGTTTATTGGGTCAGTAATATTCATTAGTACAATTATTCAACAAGGTCGTGTCTAGAGTTGCAATTTGATGGATGGAGACTTCTATACTGCAGTTCCAAATTTTTTCCTACTCTCAAGGTTGTGCTGAAAACAAAAATATTAATGATATTTCCACGTTATCACTACCTGGAAAGTGGAAGCTATTTGAAATCGTAAAGTAACTGAGTGTAAAGTATTTCAAATTCATCACCATTGACGTTTATTTACAAGGTACGGAATGATTACTTTTTAAGCATTTTAATGCGGTATCGAATTTAGTGGACAATTAGATCCAATAATGAGATATTATAGGAATTAAATAAGATGTTAAATGGGTTTTTAAAGCGTCTTTTTACCTCCTCGTCGGCGCGCTGCCCTCGAAGCCACTTCTTTTTGTACTCAATCTCATCGAGCTGATCTTGGATGGCCTTTCGTTGAAGCCGACATTTCTCCTCACGCAGTTGGAAGTTTCGTTCTTCCGCTTCTTTTGCGAGTTGACGGATAACCTCCCTCTCGGCCACTAACTCGGCCTTCTCTCTTTCTTCCAATTCGCGACGCTCCTGGATCCTGTAAAAATATTATGAACTCTCTTCTCAGACGTCGCGAAAAAAATTGGCTTTTAAATACCTTACGGGCGATACCTTTGCGTAGGCTATGCAAATACTATTCGTGCATGATAATTAATGGGGAGGTGGGTGAGGTGGGGAGGGGGGGGGGTTAAAATGATCGAAATCGGAGTAAGTATAACTTCTGAAAAGCTGGCAATCTTATTTAAGTAAAACTTGCGCACTGTCGTAGTTGTTCTTCACTAATTGCACGTTCAGCGGCTTGTCTTTCCGCATATTTTTGGCGTTCTTCCTTTTCAGCTAAAAATAGACCACCAGGGAGTTGGATAATAATTATTAGAGTGGTTTGTTAGTGTATAAATGTGAGGCACTATCGTTTACTCTATACATGATATTTTTTTATCACCTTGAAAGGAAAGAACGATCACGCATATATGTCTTATTTCCTATGACTTTTGGTTAAATGGAATATGAATTTCAATATTAATGAAACAAAAATATTGAATTCGATAGGAGGGGGGGGGGGGGGGGGGGGGNNNGGGTTCAACAAAACTACATTTTTGGAAGATTAAAAAATTTCATACCTTCTTCAAAGGACTTTTTCATGGCCTCAAGTTCAATTTCACCCTTCTTAGCCGCTGCTTCACTTTTAAGCTTCTTTAATTCCAATTGCAATTCATTTTCCTTCATTGCATCACCGATGTGAAGGGCAGTCTGGCAAGGATGAAATAATTTTCATTAAAGGTTGTAAAGTCATTGATTAATCCCCAAAAATTAGCTAGTAAATAACTGATATGTGTTAGAGACTAGATTGGCCTATTTAACACTTATATGTTTGGAATTGGGAAAAGCGTTAAAATGACGACATTTATTCGAAAACTAACTACAGATAATGAAACTGATACCATTTCAACACCACCATGTACTCTAAAATTAGTAGAAGAGAAATAAGAGGAAAGAGATGAGACCTAAAGGAACTTACAAAACACGAAAACCCATGAAAGTTCGAACTTATTAGGAATGACCAATCAAGATCCAACTTAAGTCACTGGCCGGTCTGTGACAACGAAAAATTACAGAGTGAAAGATAGAATGCGTAGGTAAAGTAATAAAGAAAGAAAGGCCAACGTAGAAGGTCCGAATAGGGTGGATCAGAAATCCCAAAACCTAGAGACTATAAAGTAAGTCAAAATTCCAGTTGTTTGTAAACTTTTAACATTTATATTTAATTAGGAATTCAATTAGCTTTTGAGTAGAATAATAGTAGATAGGTAAGGTTATTTTACCTTATCAACTTTATGCAACAGTAAGCTCGTCATTCTATATGATTTTAATGTTATTGTTCGGTTTAGGGAGGTTAGTAGGAAGAGCGACTGATAAAAAGAAGGCTAGAAATTTTCAGGAAAGAATTTCGAAATTTGGAAATAAATGTTAATATCTTATCGAATGGCATAAATAAATAGTGGGTTAAAAATACAAGGAAAACTAGAAAAAACATACATGAAAATGCTTAATTCTCGGAACTGTATAGAGTTTAAGTGTGCGGGCAAGGCAGAGTTTCTGTCGACGTTCCTCGGCTTGTTGCTTTGCCCAAGCCTTATCAACAGCAACTCTTTCCTCTTCCTCTTTGCGCAGTCGTTCTTCTCTAGCTTCTAACTTCCTATTTCGCATACCCATAACTGTATTAGTCCAATGCTTGTGAATTTCATACGATTCCTGCTTTATTCTCTCTCTCTCTTCAAACTCTCTTTGGCATTTGGAAGCATTTATCTCCTCTTTGTGAAGCCAAGAATTTAACCTTTCCCATTCCTTCTGAGACAAAACTTTAACCATGCCATCTTTGTATTTAGTCCTATTGGATTGACACATGTAACTGTTTCCTTAGGTAGATAAATATATTTTAATACATAACAAATAAAAGAAAGACAGATCAAACACGGAAACTAAATTAGAATAATCTAGTGAATAACTGCATTTCATTTGACCTTAAAAGGCATATTATAAATTAATAAAACCTAATTTTATTCATTATGTTTTAAATGATTTCAATGGTATTGCACAGTTGAACGATATATGCACTTAGAGTTATACATAGACGATAATTCAAAAAAGTGCACAAGCTAGAACACTGACAACTGTATATGGGCAGCGAGAATAAATTTATGATGAGGTCATTTTTGTTTAATCGATTTGCAAAGAGAGAACTAATTAGGAATTACTAAATGAGCCAATAAAAAATAATATTTTTTGTTTACACATTCGGGTACCAAAAGTTATTTCTTCGAACAGTTCAAAATAATTAGTCTAAGAATGATTTCATAAAATGAACGAGAACTTCTATTCACAATATTTACTCTACGTGCTATTTGTCTATCAAAAAATGCAAAACAATGATTTTTTATGTAATTATCATTTGATAAGTTTTGTAAAAATAAATTTTACCTGCCGAAACATTTTTCATATGAAGAGCATTTTAAAATTTCAATAAATTATTTTACATCAATTCAATGACGATGTATTAGGCAGACAATGTAATTCTGAAATATTGATATAAATTTTTCAGCAAGTCATTTTCAAAATTTCAGTTCTCAGATATTTTGTGTGTTATGCAATGGTGATGGATAATACTGTCTTCTTATTTAAAATCAATTACCTTAGGCAAAGAACTCTTGTGAATATTATAAAAAAACCAAATGGAATTTTGGGCACCCATAAGCTGAAATTATATGACTTGTCATAATAGTTGCAAAACTGAAAAATTATTGAAAAATTCGCGACCAAATAGGTAAAATGCAGTAAAAGTGACCATCAGTTGTAGGAAGAGCAAGTGATTAATTTTAATACACTTAATGCCAAAGATGTATTAGTACATGCTCATTTGGTGCATATTTTTTAAAAATAGCTTTCCAAAATGATAATTATTGCCAAGTCTTGAAGTAGATATCTGAATGATTCTAAAACAAATTGATAATTTATTAAACAGCTAAATTTAAATTCAACATAAAATGAATATTTGACTTTAGAAATTTGTTTACAACAATAGTTTGTTTTATTAAATCAAACGTATTAATTGGATTTACTTCAATAGGTCAAGTACTTTTTGAATTCTCTCAACACAAAATGTCCAGGACTTGCGCAGCATGTAATAAAACCGTTTACCCAACTGAGGAGCTTCGGTGTTTAGAAAAGGTAAACATTGTAGATTTAAAATGACTTTATTTGAAAATATGAGATCATTTTGAATTTAATTCCACATAGTAATTTTCATAGTTTTAATTTTCACTCATCGCATGAAACTGAGCTATAATGCATATCACTGTTCTATGCTGAATTTTATTTTGGACTTTCTTTTAGCTTTGGCATAAATCTTGCTTTCGATGTCAAGAATGTAACAAGGTCCTTACAGTTCAAAACTTTAAAGGCTTTGGCGGAAAGCCCTATTGTTACGCGTAGGAATATCTTTGCAATATATTTATACTTATACGTTTGCAAAATTAACTTCTTGAATTAAATTTAAAAGGTTTTAAAAGTTGACAAATTATATCTCTGTTTGTTAAGATTATCACGTTTAAATAATTATTTATTTTTGCACAATTGAATACTTTATTCGTTTTTTTCTATGTAAATTAATCGAAAGTGTAAATTCTTAATTTCAGTCACTATCCGCATTTGAAATCTTGTGGTGAAGTCACAAATACTCCAGAAATGCAACAAGTCGCTTTGAACACAAAAAATATGAGCAAGGTTAGTTCAATTCCCTTTTGTGAAATTTTTCTACTTTTTTCTCATAAGCTCGCAAGGATGTGACTTGTCTCACTTTATTCTGGATTTTCGAGCTAGTGTGGGAAAGGATGACCGCACCTATTTCGCAGTTAGTGTTGCACCATTCACATGTAATATTCTTTTAAATAGTGCATAAGAAAGTTCATTTTTTAATAACGGTCCACCTACTCATATATTTTTTTAAATCCCGCACTAGTGTAAATTATTTTTTAACTTCATGTTTATTCACAATGTTAATACCCATTCGCACAAATAGTTGCGAAGCTATGATTAAATTATCTGGGAAATAGTAGAGAGATTAGGAACTTTGCTACTTCTGAACTCCTAAGATGAGAGAAGCTCGCTTTGAATTTCTTCTCGATGTTAAGAATTTTCTCGTGGTGAGGATTTATGCTTTTGAAGATGGGAATCGATATCGTTAATTGTTTTAGTTAAGACAGCTCCATTTGTCTAAAGTTGTCCCTTGTAGCTTGATTGTGGCTTTTCCATGCCTTAGAGTTGAACTTTTAGCCAGTGTATAGCTTTCTCTAAAATATGGTAGTGTGTTGAGTCTTCTGTTACATCTTTGTTTCAACATTGGAAGTCAGCGATGGTCGTGTTATTGGACATGCTCTGCGATGTTGCAAATTAACTCCACCTAGCAAATGGATAAGATATGAGAAAGAATGTCCTCCGCCTTTTTCTTGTGTTCTTTGAAGATGATATTTTCTAGGTTATTTGATGAAGGCATGAGATCCTTCGAGGACTTCTGAGTTGTGGCATAATTTTGTGTGTGATTGAGCATTTAATTGATGCACCAGAATAAAATTGAATTAAGTGTACAGTGAGGAGCCTTACTAATTTAACTTTTTTATCTATCTTATCTCTGTTCTGTTAGATTTGTAAGATCATTTTGTATTGTAAGTCATGGTGAAAGAATGAAATGATGGCTAGATTGACTATGTGGTCAAATTATCTATCAATTGACAGTGGAAACAGGAGGCATAAATGTGGGACTGTTTGATAACTTTGCTCTTCGAACGCACCCCCCCCCCCCCCCATCCTAGATTTTCAATGGTTGAAATTTTTATTAGACGAATCTAGTGGCCTCTCTAATTCTAGAATTGAAATTAACGTTATTTTTACTGTGGTTAAAAACAAAAATAAGCTGAGCACACAAAAGCGTGCAGAGAAATATAAAAAACCAACTGGATATTTTTAATTCAAAATAACTTTACTAGAGAGTTCCTAAGCCTCACCATGATAGATTGTAGATTCGTATTGAATGAGCTCAGAGATTCGTGCACTTTTAAGTTTGAAGTCTCTCTGAAATTAAAAAATTATAGGCAAACTGCCTATATCTTACTGCTGCAAATATTAAGTGGAATATAGATTAAAACACACAAAATTATAATGATGAGATCATTTGAGTCCTTTTAAAAGACCAGCCCAATCCACCTAACCCCAAAAGTAAGGTTAAATGGCAAATAATAAACGCGTCGTCGTATTGCAACGTAAAAATTATCGAAAGGAGTAGGTGTTTAATATTTTAGTTAAAAATAGAAGCAACTGCTTTCCTAATAAGGTGATTAATTTGCAAATTATAAGAATAGGAATGATAAGGAACCAATTAATTTTGATTCTTCACTTCGACTATTAGCTCATTCGAGAAATGTATAATTGCGATTTATTACCTTGCACTTGAACGTGTCTTTGAATTGTTATGTAGGTGATGTATCACAGGGACTATGAGTCACTGAAGGGTAAGCAGTCGTCACTCTATGAATCTCAAAGGTCCTTCGAGAGGGATGTGAGTTTCCTTTTCAAATTATGACTCATAATTTTAATGACACTGATACTTTGAATTCATAATGAACTTTTAAACTAAATTTTGTTTAAATGTTAATTTTTTTATTATTTAGATTGATTCGAGTCTAGAAACGCCCGTAATGACAAACAAGCAACTACAACAGGTACACCAGATAAACAGTGGTTACACAAGTAAGCAAACAAATTTGACGAAAAGTTAAAAATATCAAAACATTTTGCAAGTTTATTGGAGTCCTACCTGTGTGTTTAGGTAATCTCAGCAGATTTTGTGCAGAGAAGCTTATTCGCCTACTTATGCATTAAAACTCAAAGTGTTTTATCCTATACTTTCTTATTCGGCTTTACTTAAATTGGCCAAGTTTCACAAAAGAGCCCTATGTAATTATTTTTCTTATTTTATTCAATTGCTTTTGATTAAACAGAAATTGTTTTATGACACATAATTGTCTAATTCAAGTTAAAATTTAAGTGAAAAATCGGAATTAAAAACCTAGTAAAATCACATATCGTATATTTATATCATCACGTTTTCATTTCGATTTATTTATATCAAAGAGTCTTTTATTTCTCTAATTTATCGATAAATTAAATTTATTTGATAACTTTTTACTGGTAATTTGAGTTCTTGTTATCAAATTAATGTGATAATTTGATTCTCATGAATCATGGCAACATGTTTGGTGAATTCGTGGTGCTCGATGCCATTAATTTGATTATTGAAGTTAAAGGCACTCGGAAAGCAAGTATGCAATTGAGCGCATAATGATGTAGAAGAGCCAATGACGAATCACAAATGATTCACGCAAGGACTTCGTCATTTTTGAATAAGAATTCGTGTCAAAAACTGGGCTCCTCTATGAAAGGGCGTCGACAAACTTCAAGTAATTGATACAGAGAAATGTCAACTCGATGCATTATCACGAGTTAGAGTTATCAAGGACGATTTGTAGCGTTCTTTTTAAATCAATCGAGCATGCTTGAAATAAGTGTTTATTAGAGAAGCAATTTCTCATTTGCTTTGACGAAACTCATTTGACACCAATAATTACGAGAAAGAGAAGGGGGGGGGGTGGCCAGGTGGTAAAGTCTTTAATTCACACAAAAATAAAATTACAATTTTTTAAATATTAATTTCTTGATTTTAAGCAACGTCCCGTTATATACCATTCATTTTTTTGACAATATTCCCTCCCATCAAACAGACACTTCAAAGACTCATTGCGAAAGCACGTAATTCTTCAGATCATTACTAATCACTTGTAAATGCGCTATCAAATGCATTCGTTCAAAATCACCTTCACCTGCTAATTATTTCTGAATACAATTTTTTATTAATTTGAATTGTCTAATTAATAGAATTTATGGATTTTTCTGAAACAGTTACATTTGTTACATCGATATCCAATATGAAAATGTAATAAGATTTCGTTTTGTATTTATTTTTTAATAATTTTTCCTATGAGATAAAGCAGTCGCTTTATTTTTCACCATGACTCAGTCATCCAAGTTACGAAATTACTACTTAAGCATTACGTGGTATTTTTTATAAAAACTTTTTTCCGTGAATCTTGCTTTATCTGTTAATTAGCGTATGGTTATGATTTAGCAAATTATAGTGCACAAAATCAGATTCTTCCTCTTACCTTAGGTGGGTTTAAAGGCTACTTAAAGGAAGCAATTAAAGTGATCATGCGTTTTGGGCAGCGAGGAGACAACTCAAATTAAGGAACCCCATTGGAATTACTAAAATGTCAATGATTATAATTATTAAAATGCTTATGTGATCTTTGTGGGGGGGGGGGGGTTATATTATCCCTTTTGATCGCAATTAAGTAATTTTAAATTGTCATTGTGACTTGGAGTTTCTAATCGAGTAAATAAATGAATAATAAGTCCAATACTTTATTAACCGAAAAGAGGTCAGCATTTAAGTTGCCATTAATAACTTTGAAAGCAAATTTGTCCAATTCACATGATATTTAAAAAAATATTAATATTAGGATTGTACTAACTCCATCGCATTTTAAATGGTAGGCGTGAATCCAAGTACAATATGAAACTTTAAATTATAATTTAGATAAGATTTTCTACCGACTTAATATTTACCGCAAGGGGGCTTCCTTTTCATCCATTCTCCGCTATGATTCAAAGTCGATTTTCTTGGTTTCAGGACATTCGCCTCCACGAGGTTCATGGGGCGTCGATAGCTATCAACAGCCACAGTCACTAAAATCATCAACGAACGGTAATCGAGCCTCCAACTTCTCGAACAACGATAATGACAATTACGCACAAGGTAAAATTGTGATTTTACTTATACAATCACTCGCCAACAAACCATTAATTGAAGCAAGTTAAAGACCAGACTTGACTGCTAATGAGCATGCGCAATGTACAGCCATATATCAGCAAAATTTATTTATACCAAATGGCAGGCTTTATGATAGTTATCCTTAGCCCTTTAGTTGACTTCAGGCTTCACAGAGGAAGAGGAACATCAAATCGAAAAAGTCGAGAGTGGGGGGGGGGGGAACAGATGAGTGTTTTAAAGATGTAAAAGAGACAGACACAAAGGAGGATGAAAGGTGAGGTGAGTACTGTGTAAGTAGTCGAATTTGACATACAGTGGGGTGTTGGCAGTTTGAAGTCAGAAGTCAACTGCCGGTTTGTGGACTTTTTTGCCGTATGAGTATACGTTGCCCAGGGTGCACCACGTGGAGGTAAGTCTATTGCACACCCCATATCAGCAAAATGATTGACAGAGTAATTGGGTAAATGTAAAAATTGCAAGTGAAGGCATCGAAAGAGTCCTGCATTTTCCTATTGCTATACTTTATGGGCGTAATTCATTGAGTAATGGCATAAAATTACAGGCTCCCAGTCCTTAGGTTTCTAAGCCGTAGTTTTGATCAGAACCGTTTGTAGCGAATGGACCGACAGAGTGAAATGCGAAGTTTCATTCATGGTATTTGCTGGGGTCTCGCTAGCCGGTAGGCTTTTTATCTCGACACAAATTATGCACTCTGCTTATCCTCCCGAATGGCTCCCTTTCGTTTGAATTTCTTCCAACCAAGCAACGGGAACCTCGCATTCCTTCCTACACTTGTACACGCAAAAATGTTCATCCCCCCCACCCCCTTTGGGCGTTGTGGGCATGAGAAGTTTGTTTAGCTATAACAAGCTTGCGATTTACGACCCAATGCTGTGGTCCTTTCAGTTAGAAGTTAAAAAAGCGCCAATTGTACATCATGGTTAATGAATTGCCTTTTGATTTTTCTCTTTCACTTCATATTGCCGAGTAGAGTTCACCCTGAGTGAACTCTTAAACGCCTGTAACGTATTTATCAGGTGTGCCAGGTAATATCGGTGGCATGCACACCGATTTACAAACTCACCATTTTCACATGAATGAACTTATCTCAGTTCTGCCACCAGAAAAGCTCACGAAAACTCCGAAATAGGGGTGGGGGGGGGGGGGGGGGGGGGGAGCACGTCTGAAATCGTGTTTCCTACCAAGATGAGTGGTAGATAATGTTTTTATTAGCTGTCCTAGTAAGTTATGCATATATTCACTCCGTGATGTTGCGCCTTCAAATAAGTGAAGGCAAGGTGCAAAATGTGCGTCCGTATTTCATCAAATCGATGACTCATTTTAGATCCTATGAAAAATTGAGAAAGCCATTAGAGTGTCTATCCTAGGAATTATTATTTATTTTCGTTGAAAAGAGATCCACCTGAGAATTGTGTGCAAAGGGAATTATGAAAAGCATTGTCAACTGCATTTGCCAATTTCCCATTTGTGCAGAGTAGCAACCTGTTAAACAAACTCAGTATTCACTACCGAGATGAGTGTTTGATATTTGGCGAGCTCATGTTACTGCAGAGGCAATCAATGCATCGGGCTGCACATAGATAAGTATTATTATTGTGCAAAGTCTTTATGTAGCATGCCAAAAGCCTTTAATTGGTGCTCGAATTTCAATTTGGCGTTTACGCTGAGTGTTTGATAACCGCTCCTCTGTCTTAGTTAAAATACCCATTGCTCATTTCTCACCTTTTAGGTTACAGAAACGACCAAGCTAATGGCAATGGTAATGGTGGAAACAGGTAAATTCTTTTTAATTTTAACAAAAGCCTAATTTTATCGAGATGCTTTGTAATAGCAACATGTGCTGCCAAAAAGGCAAATAATTCAGTTATCAATGAAATAAAATGAAATCGATAAAAGCTAGTAGAGATTATAGTGAAGGCTTCCAAGTAATTAAACTAAAATAATAATAATATAACTTTCACAAAACAAGCAAATCTCAGTAAAACGCTTATCGTGAGACTAGTGCTACCTAATCTCAGTATTTAAAATGTTATTTCCTTTAATCGAATTAAATGCCTATTTATTCATACTCATACCTCGCTTTCAGGTTACAAGAAGTTGTTGACGCTGTTCCGATCTATCGACCCGATCTTGTTATGATGGGTGGAATGAAGGTTACTGGCAGTGGATTGGTAAATAAAGCTACTCCAATGAGTAGTATTAAGCAGTTTGAGATCTTTTTTTTCTTGTTCTTTATCTTCTTTAATTTAATTGGAATACTCCATTAATTAGTAATTTTCGCTTTTAGCACTTCCAGGCAGTCTACAACTACGAAGCTGCAGAAGACGACGAAGTAAGTTTCATAGAAGGCGATGAGATTCTCCATGGTGAACCGATCGATGAAGGATGGATGTTCGGCACAGTTCGAAGAACTGGGCAATTTGGAATGCTTCCGTCCAACTACGTCGTTCCTATTCAAACTACAAGCCTAAGAAACTAAAGAGAGTGGCTTGCCTACAGTGTTGCCTTTGTCATTTCATCTCATTTCCATGTAAAGCTATTCTAACCTCTCTTATCATATCGTGAAACATATCATACTTATGGATTTGTTATATTTTTTGCAATAAACTACTACACTGGTTGCATTAAAGATTTTCAGTGAGATGCACATCATTTCTTTTATTCATAAAGTGAGTCTGCGAATCACTACAAAATACTACTAACTTTTATCTTAAGCACATCGGGTGCGCGATAGACTCATCTCCACGTGATGCACCCTGGACAACGGCAAAAAAGTCTATAAACTGGCAGTTGATTTCAAACTGCCATGACCCGTCTGCATGTCATATTTTACCACTTTCACAGTATTCACCTTACCTTTTTCTCTATCTTTGTTTGTCTCCCACATCTGCGAATCACTCTTCTAACCCTCCCTCCCCCCCCCCCCNTCTGCGAATCCCCCTTCTAACCCCCCCCCCCCCCCCCCCCTATCGACTTTGATAGAAGGCACATCAATTTTTTACTAGAAATTAATCCGGATAGATATGTCAAACTGCTGTGTTTATGAATGCCATTGAATCTGTATCAAATAGATTCAAGAGTTATGCTATCTACGTGGTAGACAAATTGTGTTGGCTGATTGCACCAAAGACAAATTGGCATATAACTCAACGTTCCGTGTAGCTTAACGTAATTTTATGTCAATTGTTAATATCGTTAGTCCCCCCCCCCCATTTGCTCTTCTGTTGCCTTTTTCGCTGTCACTCTCTCTCTCTCATGTCTCCCCCTGCTGCCAATCATAAAAGCCCCTGGTTTCTGTCTGACAAGTTGCTGATCTTACCCGAGTATTTGGGCTCACATGAGTCGATACAAACATAAAGTCACATCGCTATGGCTAGAATTGCTCAAACCAAGAAAGGTCTGTATTTGATATATGGTGTACCGGTTACTTAGAAAACATTAATTACATCACCAGGCTCGAAAAAATCAATATTAAGTAAACTTGTGCAGGAGGATTGAAGTCAATTGAGGTTTTGGAAATAGTAAGAGCGGCTTCCAACAAACTGTCAACTCTCTCTCCCATAAGCGAGGACCTTTAGTCTACACAATTTATCTAATTTTTCAAATAATTCAACATCAGGCACTGGAGGTCTTTATTGGAGCATTTTCGACTCAAGTACCAAAATTCTCCTGCTAGCACAAAAGAATTATGAAACAACTCGTTTCATAATAAAAATCATGGGGAAAAAACAATAGTTATGACAAAATATGCTTCCTTATATATCTTTACATCATTATAAAAAATTCACAAAAAATAGCAGTAGATACGATAAAATCTCTGCCCATAAAATAAATTTTACACGCTTAAATCAGAGGTTATTCAGTGGAGTACTTTGTGGCAATTGGATGTCACCTTGGATTTGATTGCCTTCATCTCCAGTTGGCAGGATCTCGCCAACTGTTTCCGGTCCAAGAATAGCCGATGCTACTTCCACAGTATCGAGCCGTAGTGTCTGCAGGCGATGAAGTCCATCTTCACACACCACATAGTTGAACTTAAAATGTCCTGCTGGTCGCTGGTACTTGTGCTTTGTTATCAAATGGCGGGATAGCAGAAAGCCTAAAATCAACCTTTGACAGGTGAATAAAGATAATTACTACTGAATAAAATATAAGTAGAGTGCTTACCTTTAACAAAACGTCGAGAGCAAACATGACAAGCGTATGAGCCTTGGGGTTGACTGGGAGGATGTTTTCGAGTTGCGTGTACAAGCAAACCAGGTTGAGTAGTAGAGTAGAACCTGCAGCCTTCTATGGGACAACGGAAGACGTTCCTTTCTTCAGTTGTAGTTGCAGGAGTAGGAAGGTTATTTGAGGTTGAGGTACGGCGCACATTGGGAGTGGATGTCTGCAAGGGAAATAAATGACTTCCGCCAAGATTTGGAGAGTTTGCAGCGGCAAGTGGGCCAAGTGGTGTTGCCACAGAACGAAGAGGTTCCAGAGCTAAAGTAAATAAGAAAAATAAAGGATATGCTTGCTTAATACACCAGATGCCATTTAAAAGTCAAGGAAGACAAGGAAGTCCAGACTCGATGATGATGATGATGGTGAGTAGTGTATCCATAACGATTCATACCACTGCGAGCTCTAGCTATCAACTAATTCTTTTCTGCCTCTTACCAAAGAAGGAAGGGGGTAAAGTTAGCTAACTCACCGTGCTCTCTTGAACAGAACGCGGATTGTTCATCCCATCCTTCTAATTCCTAAAACCTTCGTCTACTTTGTATTCCTTCCTCTCGCAAAGCCATTGCATTTGGTCAACTAAACTCTAGGTCTTCTCAATTGAGGAATCCTACTATATTATACTCTATTAGCCTCAAATGGAAGTCCTAAGCCAATAGAGTAGCTTTGGTGGCAACAGAGTAAAAGCGACTTACAAATTCATTGGTCGGAGTGAATAGCCACAGTAGTCATCAAGTTCGATAGGTCAATAAACAAACATGTATTTTTTTCGAAGGAAATGTAGTCTCACAATGGCATCAATAAAAATTATTTCAAAATAACTGCAACTTATAATTAAATTAACTGCATTATACGAATGGATGCAATGCATAATCGCTTTAATTAAGAAAAGTCTTTTCGCCTTTTTAGTTGAGCATAATAGGAAGTAATGATTTTTTGTAAAGGTATTCAATCCTAACTCTATGGATTTAGCCCAGTCAATATTCAATCGTAGTGCATAAAAAAAGAGAGCAGGAACAATAACCACGTTCAATTTGGGGGGTTTTCCTTTGAAGTATCCCTTAGGGGAATAAACTATTCTTCTTTATAAAAGGATTATAATTAAATCTATCAGTTGCTGCGCGCCAAAGCAAAGCAATAAAAAAAAGATATGCTCGGAAGCGGAGTGAAATATAATTTTATCATTTCCTTTCTATAAAGTAACAGAATTAGCACAATAGCTAATCACAGACATTTCGCATGAGTAAACCAAGAACTCAAAATAAAGGACTTTCTTTTAATAAATCACTTGAATTAATAATGATAGAGAAATAGATAGATTTGAACTAAAAAGAGTTTAAAAACAAAAAAAATTGATAAAAAGATAACTCACAAGTAGACAAACCACAATCTGAGCCAGTAGGTGTCGAATTACCTTGAGTATCCGCTGAATGTAGTCGTGAAATGTGAGCTCTCAGACAGTAAACGTCCTTGAACTTCGATGGGCAGTGTGGACAAGGCACTACGGCCTTATTCACATGACGATACAAAACATGGCGCTCAAGAGCTAATAAAGACCAAAAAAGGGTAACACAGTGTTATTTGCAAGAATGAATGAGGTTAACAAAAGTTGCAAATACAAAAGGATGAGGAAACAGACTGCCCGAAGCAAAACAATTGATCAATCAATTCCAAACCAAACAGTGTCAAACAGCGCTATAGATTATCTGAAAACAAGGATGTCAAGACAACAGTTCAGGCAGTTCTAAATAAGGGCGGAATCGAATAAAAGAGAAGATAAAATTGACATTTAATTCCAAGCGCTTTCAAAAAAAACAGATCCTGAAATTTTAGATTTTGGAATATCCGACCCTGAAATCAAATTGGTAATAAGTACGCAAATGCTGTCAGTTTGAAAATTTTAATTTGCATTTTGAGCAAACCATAGAAAATAAGATTTGAAACCTGTAACCATAAACACTCCATTACCTCAATATATACTAGGGGTAATGCCTATACTAGAATCGATTCTCCAATCAATTATTATAAAACTAACCGAATATTTGGCCGAATCTATAACGATACAGTGACAAATAACTGTCATATTATCACCACAACGAATAACTAGAACTATAGACTCAGTTTAAATTTTTAAAAGTATGGCATAAATGAAGCAGGCTGCCTTGCAATCTCAATCAAAACTGCTCTTTTTAATCTAACATGCACCCGATTTTACATCCCACCTATATCTATTTCACGCCCCAAGTTTATAAATCTCTGTCAAAAAATGGATGGTGGTATTCAATTATGATTACCTCACAACAGAAACCTTAATCCTTACAATAAGAAAGGAACAGACTCACCGCTTTTGCTTTGAAGGGAGAGTTTACAGATATTGCATATGTGCTTGTTAACATGACGACTGGCATGGGCAAGCATGATATTCCGTGAACCAAAGCAGCGCAAGCAATATGAGCACTGGAATTTCTCCCTCTGAGGACTCAAGGCGGGATCTCCAGGCTACTGAAATAAGCACTAAGTAATCATACACACTTACTTCATACTGCCGTACAATATGATCACGTAATTTGTTACGGGCTGTGAAAAGAAGACCGCATTGTGGACATGAAGCCACTTTTTCCTGGGTGTGAGAACGCAAATGAGCAACAATATTAGTATGCCTTGAAGCAGAGAAAGAACAGCCTTTCCATTGGCAAGAATATTCTTCGTCATCATCGCCAGGATAATACTGCATAATAAAAGGAAGCAAATAGATGAGGAAGAAGCAAAAGTAGTCAAACCGATGGAACAAACCTGAGGATGCTCGGAAACATGAAGGTAGAAGGCGGAGACATCATTTGTCTGAAAGCGGCACCTGCTCCAGCTGCAGGTGAACTGCGTGGGAAAGTCGGGAACAAAATTATGATCGCCCGGAAGTTTGCAATCGGGCAAATCCTGTTGCTTTTGATAAGCTAATCCGCGAAGGTACAGATTTATCAACCAAGAATGGAAAAAGACGTGCCTATATGCTGCTCCGTCACGATTAAGAAAAATATTGCATGATCCACATTTAATATCCGAAGAACCGGAGTTCAAAGACTCCTAAATAAATACAAAAATATGAGAATGTTACAAGCAGAATAAAAGCACCTCCAAATGTAATATCATATGTTGCTTGAACTCATTGTATTCATTGAATAGGACGTTACAATCATTCCAAGTACAACGAAACTGACGTCTAAAAGTTGACATTTTATCAGCTGCTAGTAATTGACGTGATTGGTTAAAATTTAGCAAGGCGTATTGAGGTAGGCAATTCAATCTTCTTTAATTTTTAATACCAATGTATGAAATTAAAAATTATTTTATAACGAATATTTAGATAGTTTTTATTTATAAACATTTTTGATCTAATATTAAAAATAAAACTATTTGTTTATTGCCTTTGAATTTAAGGCGCTTAGACTAAGAGAGTTGTACGAAATATTTTTCTTTAGCTTGCATATTTTGCTATTTCTGATTCGGTCATGAATAACAATTCAGATTCTTTGCTTCCATCCTCATTAAGTAAGGTTGAGTCAAATTCAAGGCTCACCATTAATATTAATCAAGCAAATTTACCCCTTGGGCCAAGCTTGCTCCCTCCCTCAATAATACACCCACCAGTTACTGTGGAAAACAAACCGAACACTTGCGAACAGAAGAATATTCCCTCAACTCAAATCGTTGATATTCCTCCCCCAATGCCATTGCCTTCCATATTTTCCTCCTCTTCCAATGTAATTATCGTAATGTTAAATTTAATGTTGTTCCATATCTACTCTTTTAATCTTATTTTAGCGGCCAATAGGACAAATGAGATCGAGGTATGTTCTTCCACCTCAGTTATCTCACAGTCCTGTCCTAACAACAAGTGAGACCTTGCCAACTCCTCCAATTCCCACTCCTAGCCAACCAGAAACTTCTTTTTCGTCAATGACTGTTCTTCCCACTCCCTCCTTTTACAATATTTCTGATCAATCTGAAAGAGTTCAACAGCCATCCGACACAACGTCCTCTCTCTCTGCAGTAAACGTAACACCAACACTTGCAGCTTTCAATGCTCCTAAGTCAACTGAAAGTGAGCAACAATCTACTTCATCTTTCCCTACCATGACTGTTCTTCCCACCCCGTCTTATTTTGACGTATCTGAATCAAATCAACCCAAACAACAGGAAGGAATATCTTGTGATGGTATGTACTGATTATCTGTACATTCCCAAATCCGCGTTTGAATGTCTGTATCCACTTGCCCTTTTTGTTCAGAGACGTTTCCGCGATGTGCTTATGAAGCACCTTCGGCTCATTGGTTCTACTCGACAAAGAATGTCAATCATGGAATTATCTGGTGGCCTTTTAGTCTATCTGACGCTCAGAAATTGGAGAATGCAGCGACAGCTGTCAATCTACTTTCTGCTACCCAAATAAGCGCCAACGCTCCGAATACCGCAGTACCAGTTCGTGGTGGTCTCTATGATGTTTTTCTTCGCGATCGCGTCTACAAACCCTGCTACTGGCCAGCTAATGAAGAGGAATCGGGCGAAGTTCGCCGAGTTACATGGCTTTATCGGTTAGTTTTTTTCGGCTTTTTTTCTCTTAACTTTTAACAAAAAGGAGCCTTAAGTGTCTCGTTTCTAACCGCAAATTACACTTCCAGCTTTTTCTAAATAGGGACTATGTGTCCGGACATTTGCACGTAGGGGGAGGGGGGGGGGAGGGGTGCAAATAGTCCTTACACCTAAAGTGATGACCGTGTATTGGATTTTGGAAAATCACTTTAAATGTTTTTGTCTTAATGTGTTTTTACCTTCGTTACTTCAGTTTGGGTTACACAGGTGTAGCTATTCTTATTGTTCGTTCCTACCGCTTTAAGGGAGTCATAGCAACCATGTCGTTCTATTTATTTGACCGGGTTGTAATCTAGTTACTTGAAATGTTTTGTCTAAACCGAAGTTCAATACCATTTTTTTCCTATTTCTTTACTTGCACTAACTGTGTGGTTTCAGTGTTTAGTTCTGTTTATAGTAAATTTGTTACATAGTCCTTCTAACGGTACTAGTTTTCTTAATTTGCTACATATTTGGGCATTTATTTGGTGAACACCATTTAAGGTCAATTTATTGTGTGCTTATTTAGGCAACCTTAATCATGTTTGTATTTATTCATGTAAACCCCGAGTTCTTGAAGCCGTTAGTTAATTTATGATTTTGGTTTATAAAGTAATCTGTTTGAAATCTATCACATATTCGTCACAATGTTTAGATGACCTTTAATTATGTCTCTGTTCGTAGCCGAGTAATTATAGTACCACTGCAATCCAATGATATCTTATCAACTAATTTAAGTACTGCTAGTTACAACTACTTAACAATTTATTTATATCAAATGGCAGGCGTTTTGATAGTT